GATGAGCAAAGGGGACACAGCAGGGAACTCCCAGCTCCAGCGTCCACGGCACAGGCAGCCCCGCTGTACGCAGCAGCTCAGCTCTCAGCCTCCTGAAGAATTCCGATGCCAGCCACAAAGGCAGCATGGTGACAGCAGCACCTTCAGGGGCGTCTGGCTCAGTGGGTAAAAGGCCAAGTGCAGATCTTCCAAATCTGTGTTATCAGGGAGGAGGCAACGATGGCTGGGTGCCTGTGAGTGTGGTCAGATGTCACTGTCACCGCTTGTTCCAACACAGAGCAGGGTTGGGGCTGCTTTGTCACCATACAGCATCTTTGGGAGCAGGGAAGATGGCCAGGCGGATCCCCAGAGCCCACACAGGAAAGGCACGGAGGGTGGTGCCCGGGGAAGAGATACCTCCCGGCCATGCCCTGAGAACCACTCAGGGCCCCCGAGATGACTCAGGACCCTAGAACTGACTAGTGACCCCACAGTTCTCATCAAGCTCATTCTGAGTCATGTTACGGCCGTGAGCTGGGAAGGAGGCATTGTTATGATGGGGGCCCGTCTGTTCAAGAGCGTGGTCACAGGGATCCCCGGCCACACAGGGTACCGAGGCGTGGGGCCTGCAGCTGGTGTCCTCCCAGCTCTGTGGTGCAAGGGCTGAGACACATCAATTCTCAAGTGTTACTGGGACAAAGCTTTGCCCAGGACCCCAGGGAGTCACCATTGACCCTGCCCTCCCCTGCCATGGGGCTCTGGCAACTTTGGAAGTCAGAGCTGCCAAACGGAGCCATTAGCATGGCGGTGGGGGAGACCGCAGCTGCCGTCTGGGGTGCTCAGCTCCACTACCATGGCCCAGGGACTTTTCTTCCCTGGCAGAGACACAGGCAGGGCCTGAGGGCCTGGCCTTCCCCGCTGAGGCGGGTCTCTGGTGATCGGTGCAGCACCCTGGCTGAGCACTCCCAGGCATGTGGGAGCTCCTGGACCACAGTGGAGTTGTCCTAGCTTGTCCCCCAACTGTACCCACCCCGGGCCACCCCCTCCCAGGCTCAGCCCCGCCCCTAGGCATCCAGAAAGCCCACCGCCCTCAGTGAGTAGCTGTGTTTCATCCCAGAATCCCCCTGTCTGGGGCCTGCTGGCGTAGGGAGGCCACACGTCACGTCCATCCCATTCCTCCACAGGCGTTTTGGGATCATACGTGACAGTATCACTGTGATCATGTTGGCTAATTTCTTTTATATATTAGCTTTATCGAGATATGATCTATACACCATTTAATTTACTCAAAGCGTGGAGTTCAGTGAATTGTGGTAGCTTCACAGAATTACACCGCCACCACCAATTTCAGAATGTTTTCCTTTAACCAGAAGGAAACCTTTGTCCCTGAGTAGCCACGCCACTCTCCCTTCCCCACCCCAGCCCCGGCAACCCCATCCCCCTCACCATGGCCTCACCTGGTCTAGCTTCCCTCTCCCAGGGAGCCCCAACCTGCTAGGTGCGGGGCCTGAAGCTCCCACGGAGCGTGGCGTCCGGTGTTGTTGTGTGGTCAGGACGTGGTGCCCTTCAGGTTCTCTCGTTGGTGTGGTCAGAGCATGGTTTCTTTCCTGGCTGAGTGACGCCCATGTGTGGCTGCCCATACCTGTCTGTCCATGGTGCCGGCCGCGTCCACCCTGTGGAGATGATGGTGGAAAAGCCGCTGTGAACATTGGTACGTGAGGCCCTCGTGGACACATGCCATCTCCTGAGCGCGTGCCTCAGCGTGGCCTTGGCATGGAAGGGCTGGGTCACAGAGTGGCTCCATGTGTGGCTGGGTGGCTATTTCCTATCCAGATCTCCTCTGGGGGCCAGGCTGGGACAGACACATGGGGAAAGCCAGGGGTGGATGATAGACACCCGGGGACACTCACCTCAGGCATGAGGACACTGCAGGGTGCCCAGCACGAGGATGCAGGACCCAGGGCCCGAGGGTGGCATGGGACCCGGGACACTGCTGCTGCCATCAGCGGCCCTCGTGGCTTTCTCTGTGGAAACAGTGGCTCAGTGTCAGTGCTGGTGTGGGGGTGGCCCCGCTGGGCTGCGCGTCCTGGCCGGTCTGGGAGGCTCCTGGGCTGGCCAGCCTGCCTGTGTGGAAACCTTGAGGGCATGGCAGGGAAGCCTCCCGATGACTCAGGCTGCAGGGAATTCCCTAATGATCTGGAATATTTTTACTCCTGCACTCGGCATGGTTTCCTTCTGAGGACTCAGAGCACTGATAAGGCTGAACACAAAGGCCCTTTCAGGGCCAGCTGCCTGCCTTCCTGCCAGAGGCTGAGTTTGGAACAGCGCGGGGCCGGCCCTGCCCCCCGGTCCTCTGGGGAACGCGGAGCCGCCAAGGCGGTGCTCTCAAGGGCAGCGGGACACGGGCCTGTGCACCTCCTTTCCTGAGGTGTGTGGCTCTTCCCATCTGTAAACAGCCTCAGCCCCTTGTCTGTTCCTGACGCAATTGCTAGACAGACATTTCTGGCCACAAACATATACAACCTTTGAAAGACGATGTCTTTATGATCCTCAAACAGAAGCAGAAAGCCTGCCGTCGCCCTCACCCTCACCTTGGTTGGCTGTGAAATGGTCGTGGACGTCGGAGGCTGCAGGGAGAGAGGCCGTCTCTGAGATGGAGGGAAGGTACAGGTGCTGGTTCGGCCGCATCTGTGAGGACGGTCGGGACGTGTCGGGACGTGTCGGCTCCCCACACTTTGAGGGGACATCTAAGCACCCCTGCTCCCACCTTGCACAGGAGTGCTGGGCGTGAGCGCTCCCAGACAGGGTATGGGGCAGGCCGCCCCGTGGCAGGTGCTGAGCTGGGCCTGGCCGGCCACACGGACAGGGCTCCCAAAAGGCATGGAAGGAGAAAGACAGCCCCATGCTGTCTCTCCATTTGCTTTTTCATGGACTGACCGCTTTGGGAAGATGCCTGGAGGAGGCCTCGGGGTAGACGGCTGGAGTCCCTCTCCATTCTCAGGACATAAACAGGAGCAGGTTGTGTTGGCCTCTGCTGCAAAAATGGTGTCTCCTCCTCAGGGTGACATGAAACACGACGTTCTGGCCCTGTGTGTGCCTCAGTTTCTCTCCTGCTGCTCAGCGTGGGCACTGACCCTCCCTCCCCTTCCCAGTACCAAAGGCCTCTGCAGCCTCAGGGAAGTTCTGATGGAAACAAGCTGTGACTGTCAGCTTCTCTGGCAGAGCAGAGACCAAGCCACGGCCAGTTGTGCCTGGGAGTTTCCAAGGACACAGGCTTTTGTGGGGTGGGGACGGGGCCTCACCCCACAGATGGGCTTTGTTGTAAGAAAACTTCAAAAGTTGTTTTAAAAAGGTACCAAGAAACCAGAAGACTTGATTACACAAAGGTGATTGGATTTTTATGCGCTGGGGGTGGGGGCTCCTGAGCGGCCTGGCCGCGCTGGGCTGCGGGCTTCTGGGAACCCCCGCCACCAGCACCTGTGCTGGAGTGAAAGCGTCTCTTTCCCCTGGGCTCCTGGGTGCTCCAGAGCCTGGAGGACTTGCTGCTTCAAGAAAGGCAGGTGCCCTCAAGTGCTAAGGAGTACTTTTAGTTTCCTGTTACTTCTTTCCTAGAGGAGAGTGGGATGCTGGTCCACCTGGCTCTGTGGAGTGGGTCCATCTGGTGCGTAATTTGCGTGTGGGCCTCGGGCGTCCCGAGGCTGGCGTGGCTGGGACTCGCTGGGCGGCTCTGGTCCTGCAAACATGACTCACATTTCCTCTCTCCACCCTCCACCCGGCAGCAGCGCGTCTCTGTGACAGAGAAAAGGAGACTTTGTCTGAGTTATCAGTAATTCAGGGTTTGCAACAGACACACATTTTCTTTTTTGTAGACAGAGCACAAGGATAAACTTAAGTGTTGACACCTGGAACTGTTCATTTTGGGAACAGACTTTATTTTGGAGAAGATACAAGAGAGGAAGAGACTCTGTAGGAAATTGAGATCCGTTAATTCAAGATAATTGCCCCAAACTCAGCCTGCCTGAGGGACCGGGCCGTGCACACGCCCA